GAAAAATATATTGAAAGAAAGGAGAAAATAGTTGAAAAGAAAAGAAGGAAAAAGAATAAAAAATATTAGTATAGATATAATATTTTTTTAGAGTACCTTTTTCATAGAAATTCTTTTACACCATTTTAGGATAGTTTAGGAGTCCACTTGTTAGGAGGCTATTTTCCATTTGATTTTTTAGGATAGGATATGATAGTATTTCCTAGGAGATTTATTTTCAGTATTTACTCATTGTAATCATTTTTCAGAATATTAATAAAACGAGATTTGAGTTGTGGTCCCGAAGTAGCCGAACTACAGCTGCTCTGATTCCTCGTACCAGACGAGGATATGTAGGCATAGGATGCGATATCCTAGCGAGCACACTAATAACTGACTTTCTGTTCTCTCGCTGCTGTGCGATCGAGACTTTCCCGCTGATGACTAATTGATTACCCTTTTTCTCTCTTGCCCAAGTGCATTTGAGACCAAACCGTAGTTTTTCCCATAGGTTCCCGACCTTTGAAACCAGTTGATTTTCTCACTGCTGTGTGAGAACTCCCTGTTTAGCCGTAGTTTCCCGAACTACGTTTGCTCTGATCTTCCATACAGTGTGGAAGTACGTAGGCATAGGATGCGACGTCCTAGCGAGCAACCTTCAACCTTTCCCCCGTAACCCTTCGTAGGCCGAACTACGTTGACTCTGATTTCTCATTCTCTGATGAGAATACGTAGGCATAAAGTGCGACGCTTTGCCGAGTCATTTTTCTTTTCTTTTTTAGCCAGCCTTGATAGGTAGATAGAATAAAACCAACCCGTCCAAGTAAACAAACAAGCGAGGATCCCGTCGAGTACGACGGACGTGAGGGGTGCTAATACCTTCCCCTTGCGTAACCGACCCCCGAACCCAGACAATGGTTGCGATGACCTTGTCTTACCCTTATTCGTCAGGTTTTTCCGATCGTTTCCTTTCCCGCTCTGAGGGATAAATAACGAAAGGTGGCGACTCTTCTGTTTTGCCGGCACCTTATTTTCGCGCAAGCGACAGCTGTCTATTAACAAATTGAGGAACTGATCACCCTTAATCTCTTGTTGATAGTAGTTGGGATTGTGCTGGATGGGATAAACGTGTCTTGCGAGCTTAGATGGTGTGAGCAGTGAATTGTTTGGAGTTAAATCCAGTGCTTAAGAATTGTTTTGATGAGTCGGCACAAGACAGTGTTGAGATGTTTAATTTTGATGGGAATTTTGAGTGTTAATGAAAGTGGGAAGTTGGCGGTTTGCCGATTAATTGTGGTTGTCTGGAAGTTATCCTGACAAGATGGTGATACACAGATAAGGACGTGAAGTGGAGTTGTGATTGACTTAGTTACGGAAACTAGTACGATATTGGGAGCTCCATATTATATGTCTATTTGGATGGTCAAGGGATTAAATTGATTGAGTAGTTTTGAGACTTGTGTCTGGTGTGTGTGCTACGACAACAGATTGTGAGGTCGAGTATGTAAAGGGTGGATGGTGACTTCTGGTGATTATTAAAGTAAGAGGTGGAATACAATATTGGTATAATTAGACCTTTAAACATTTTAAGAGTTGGAGATGTGTTGAATGACCTTCTAAGTGTGAAGATGTTGTTTTCGTATTGTTGTCGTAACGGGAGAACCGTAACTCGAAATGACGCCAGATTAGAAGCGTTGGAAGCTATTACAATGCTCTATATGACAGTGAAGTAGTGACATGTAATTAAGTTATTTATTGATGGAATATGTTTGGATGTTGTAGTGAGTGCGAAAAGTGCGATTCGTGTTTCCGCCATAACTCACAAATTGAGTGAGTCAATGGTTATGTAACCGATGATGGTTGGATATATTCGAAGAGTATAGAGGATCATGTTGAACATCGGGGACTTGAGTTATCAGTGTTGGAGAAGAAGCAGTGATATGCCGCTGTGAAGAAAGTTCAAAGAGTTTTGGGGAGAGCTGTCAACAGCTCGTGTGTTGGTTTTGCCGAATCCGACAGAACTATTTGTTGTGTTTTGTGATGCTTGTTGATATGATTGAGAGATATGTTAAGTGCAACTTCAGCGAGTTTTGGTTATGCTTTAAGGCAACCTAAAGTACATAATCATCTAAAGCTACATAATCATATAGAAATATCGCCTTAAACTGTTCCCAATACTTTGGGATTGATAGAGACACCATGCAGATTGCGACACTATCCCACCACCTAGCTATTGTCCCCTTCATCATATGTGAGGCAAAAAGAACCTTGTCTTCTTCGGTGCATTATACCACTTGAAATACTCTTTTCATCTCAGAAATCCAATCATGAGCTAAAACGGGGTCAAGGCCACCTTGGAAATCAAGAGGATTCATCCAGAATAGGTCTCAAAAACTCCCTCTTACAACATCTTGTGAAGTGAGTTGAGGTTGCGATTGGCTTTGCATGTGCTACATCATTTGTACCATGAATTCTTATTGTTGCTGTTGCGTTTGCAGTTGAAACTACTGTTGTTGGTGTATAAATTGAGTCCATCGATCCTTCTGACTTCTAAAATGTTGACCAAATTCCGCACCTTGGGCAGGAGTGTCTCTAAACCTTCTACTTCCCCGTGGTCGCTCAGCCGTGATTCTAATTATCATTTATATAGGATTAAGTTGATCATATCCAATACCATACACTATAACATTAAGAATCATGTTGACAAAACACATATATGAGGCATAAATCGATTTACTTATGATGTTTTAAGGTTAGGTCGAGAATCAACCTACTATACTACCAATTGTAACACCCCATATAATATATATCTAGGAAATACATTATACAAAATATTAATTGGTACTGATACAACACAAGTGCTTAACAACATCATTATATACATGTCCATAGCATATAATACAATGCATGGCACATGACATACAATAGTTCCTAAACAAAAACTAAGATATATGTAAAATATCCTCATTGCACATAATCCACAATAGAAAGTCACAATAACAAAGTCTTCGTAACATAACCGAACAACCTTGTCCTTGCTTGAACCGAAAAGAACTACCTGAAAAACAACAACAATAATGGGATAAGATAATAATCTCATTGAGTTGCCCTATCCTATAGGTTCTTTCTGCTCTAAAGGGATCTCTTATTGATTTTTGACTTAAGCTTTTCATCTTCATCATACTTATGCACACTTACACAATAGAAAAAGGACTTAAAATTCTAAGGGAATTTACGCTCTGTATGAAAACACACAACATGAGTTCACATAACTCAACGAATCACTAGTCGAGAAAATGCAAACTGTAACACAAGGATGATTATTGCAAACCAATCACAAAGATTTATTAATCCATTCGTCATATACGATCAATAGTATACTAGAGCGCCACTACTCAGACCTGCTGACCACTAGATATGGCCAACGACAATACCCAACCTCCACTGTGTATAATACACTATTTACCAGATATGATCGTCGGTAGTCCTGCCCTCCACTGTGTGGTGATAGTCAATCCACCAGATATGGCCAACAATAGTCCTAACCTCCACTGAAGGGATACACAATCCATCAGATACAGACATCGGTACTCCTAGCCTCTAATGTGTAGTGATAGTCAATCCATAAGATATGGCCAACGATAGTCATAGACTCCACTGAAGGGATACACCATCCATCAGATATGGTTAACGACATTCCTAGCGTCCATTGAATGAAACACACTAAAGCCTTTTCCACCAGATATGACTAACGATAGTCTTAACTTCCTTTGAATGGATACACAATCCATCAGATATGGCCAACAACACTCTTAGCTTCCACTGTGTAGAACACGCTTTACAGAGTTATAGTCACAGGTCTCACTAATTCGTCTTTCCCGATTACCACTTTATATAAATCTCGAACTCGGGACAAGCACAAATAAAGGTTATTTTCAGATACGCGATTGGTCTCACAAAATAACATAGCATGTTTGCATACAAGTTTGTTGAATCACAACTATGACATCATTCTCTATCTATACCCCCAACATTTTTGTAAATGAGACGATTCATCTCTAATAACCACTTACTCATGGATGCACACCTAAGCTTGCTTACTTATATTCTAAAATAAAGTTAAACAATTTAATATATAATGTTAAACATCCACTAAAGCACCGCATAAAACTCGTTTTAGTGTTTAAAATGAATTTCACATAATGTTTTATACCTTTTTTATATTTTTTAATAATTTAAGCCACTCAATTATATTTTTAAAATATTTACACAATTACTAGTATTTATAAAATAAAATAAAAACTAAAAACTTCAATTACATAATTAAATATTTATTTCTACTAACACATGTATCATTGATTGAAGTGAAACTAATCTCAAAATCAACGTATTTAGGCTCCAAGTTAGCACAATCTAAATATATTTCTTTTTAATAAAGAAAATGGGATAGGGCAAAAAGAAGTGCAAAGATCTAGGTCGGTTGTTGTCTTGTAGTAATAAACTGGTGTCCAGTGGACACTGACTCAATAAAGCAAGCAATATTGTCTGTCTCTTCACTCTCCTTCACTGTAAAGTCCCAACTTTCTCTCATTCAACTCTCCAAACCACACATCAACAACACTTTCATTCACATTGCTATCTAAATCTCTCTATTCAACAACACTTACTTCCTAGTCTTCTGTTGTGTCCCTCCCAAACCCACAAAAAAAAAAAAACTGAACTAGTTCTGCATACCACCAACTCAACTCTCATAGGGTTTCCAGATCAGGTATATTTTATAAGTCTCTTCATTTTTTTGCTTATTTATTCCTATTATGCTGGTTTCTATCTTTTTCTGACTTCAATTTTAGCTGAAAGGACATACACACATGTTAACCTAGTTTATTCTCTAGTTTTTTTTTGTTGCTATTTTTTTGTTGTTTTCTGTTTATGTTTGTTTGTATATATTGTTGAATTTTGGCACTTTGTCAGGCTGAAGAAGTATTGGACTGAACTTGCTGGTTCAGGTGATATTGGATGTGATGAAGCTTAAAAATTGGTTTGCAAGTGTTTTGTTGCTAACTACTGTTATGCTAACCACTACATTAGGTAATATACATGCTTCCCTTTTTATCTTATTTACTTAATCCATCTCAAATTGAGTTTTTTACTTTCCTTTTGCACTTATGCTATGTTAGATTTTAGCTTATTTATTTAAGTAACCTGTTTTAGAAGATTACTGCAAGGGGAATCAATTAGGGAATGTGGATATATGGCGGATAATTCATTGACTATATTGCCTTTTTAGGTGCATTTGTGGGGGTGAACATTGGCACCGATGTCTCTGATATGCCATCTGCTTCAAATATAGTTGCTATTCTTAAAGCTCATCAAATTACTCATGTACGTCTTTACGATGCCAATGCACACTTACTACAAGCCCTTTCAAACACCAGCATTGATGTTATTGTTGGTGTCACGAACGAAGAGGTACTCAGAATTGGAGAATCTCCTTCAGCAGCTGCTGCGTGGATAAATAAAAATGTAGTTGCTTATGTACCTTCCACCAATATCACGGCAATAGCTGTTGGGAGTGAGGTTCTTTCCACAATCCCAAATGTTGCTCCTGTTCTTGTTCCTGCCTTGAATTCTCTGCACAAAGCTCTGGTTGCGGCAAACCTTAATTTTCGAGTCAAGGTTTCGACTCCACAATCTATGGATATTATCCCTAAGCCTTTTCCTCCTTCTACTGCCACCTTTAACTCTTCGTGGAACTCTACAATGTATCAACTTCTCCAGTTTTTGAGAAACACAAATTCCTCTTTCATGTTAAATGCGTATCCTTATTATGGATACACTAAAGGAGACGGCATTTTCCCTATTGAATACGCTCTTTTCCGACCCCTTCCCTCGGTGAAGCAAATTGTTGATCCAAACACACTATATCACTATAACAGTATGTTTGATGCTATGGTGGATGCTGCCTATTACTCTATAGAAGCGTTAAATTTCAAAGATATACCTGTTGTTGTCACGGAAACTGGCTGGCCATCTTTTGGTGGAGCAAATGAACCCGATGCTACTGCAGAAAATGCTGAGACCTACAGTAATAATATGATCCAGCGGGTCCTGAATGATTCCGGTCCACCTAGTCAGCCGAATATACCAATTAATACATACATATATGAACTGTTTAATGAAGACAAGAGAAACGGACCTATATCAGAAAAAAATTGGGGAATTGTATTTACTAATGGAAGTGCTGTTTATCCTTTGAGTTATGGCGATGCTACTGATCAGACAACTGGAAACTCTTCGGGAGTATTTTGTGTGGCTAAAGATGGAGCAGACACTGATAAGCTGCAAGATGGCCTGAGCTGGGCTTGTGGACAAGGCGGAGCAAACTGTGCTCTTATTCAACAAGGGCAGCGATGCTATCTCCCCAATAGTGTGAAAAGCCATGCCTCTTATGCTTATAATGATTATTATCAGAAAAATCAAGGTGTTGGTGGAACATGTGACTTTGACGGTACCGCTGAAATTACTACCCATGATCCAAGTAAGTTGATTCAATTTATTTCTGTTTTAACTCATTTTGGCATACTCATGTAAGTTGTAATACTTCATTTTGTTGATCTGCAGTGCCTAGGCATTAAACCTATTGAAACTTCATGAGCAAAACTAGGCTATTAGAAATGTCTTCTTATTGCATCCTGAAACTGATTGCATTATTGTTGGGGAGTGAATTTCTCTCGTGATAGTGTTATAAAATTTGGATGACTGAATAATTTGCAAGTATTTCTGTAGAGACATGAAATTAAACACGACTAGATAACTTGGTCATGCGGTTGACCACTTCAATAAATAGTCTACGGTGGATCAGTAGTTGAAAATTTCTTGAAATACCACCCGTCGAAGTAGAAACTCCAGGTCCTTCCTATTTTCCCGAGTGAGACAGTGACTTGATTAGTACTGGTTCGACAAACACAAGGGTAAACAAATGTGTCGAGTTTTTACACACTCTAATTTGTTTTCTCTTATTTTTTCAAACTGGTACCAACCAAATCACCGTCTAACTCGTCAGATGCGGAAGATCATGAGCTTCTACACGAGTCGTCTTTGTGTGATTTTCAAGTACTGATCTACTGTTGAACAAGTAACGATCTTTCGATGATTTTAATCACTTAAATGTTTCTTGCTTGTATTTAGCCAATTAATGTTGTGTAATCTGTTTCAGGTTATGGATCATGTAGATTCTCCGGAAGGTATAAAGATCTATTTCAGCTTTTAAAAAACAATTATATTTAAAATTTATTGTGTCTCTCTATTAATTCTTGACTGATCATGGATTATTTTGATATCAGCTCCGGCGCCGGAGGAGTGAGTTTACCGCCTACGGCACTCGGACCTTCAAGTCCCTCTGGAGAAAGTATGAACTTGCAAGTCTCTGGCCTCCAGTATTTGGTATCTGCAATTGGTGTATTTTTTGCTCTAATGATTTAATGACCAGAGGAAAGGTTTATGCACTCTTTAAGATTACAATTCAATTATTAGCTGGAATGTAGCTTTCATTGATTTTGTTTCTTGCTTCATCTTGTCCATTTCATTCTTCATAGCTATGCCCCATTTTGTGCATTTGAGGTCATTGTAATTTATCTCTTTTAGTATAGATAGTTGCTCAAAGCTAGTGGTTTTAGCTCTAGGTGAAAAACTCAAGACTCAATCGAAGTTGTTGACATTGTTATTTAACAAACAAATGGTGCACTTGTTGCCATCTAGCCACCTACCTCCTTTACTTATTTTTGGGTTGTTTGGTAAAAAATCCATATCCATCATCTTTCATAAGGCTGTATTTTTTTTCTTCCAAAGAGGCTAATGGTGAAATTCATATTGTTGAGAATGAATGAAAAGGCTATATTTAATAGATTGAAAGGTGGAATGAATGAATAAAGTATATGAATTTTTATATTTATATTGTTTGAAATAAAATATATTAGAGTATCGCAACAGTGTAAAACTTAGAACTGACAATCTCAGTATGAGTAGTTAGTTTAACCTGTTACTATAGGTTCTGTTAGTTTAAAACCTGCTACAGCAACTGAGTAGTTAGTTTAACCTGTTACTATAGGTTCTGTTAGTTTAAAACCTGCTACAGCAGCTGAGTAGTTAGTTTAACCTGTTACTATAGGTTCTGTTAGTTTAAAACCCGCTACAACATGTTGTAAAACCTGCTAAGGCAGGTCATAGTGTTACTTAAAACCTGCTAGGACAGGTTAGTGTAAATGTGTATAAAAAGAAAATCCAAGTTTAACTGAATTCATTTAATCAATAACAGAAATATAAAAGGGAAATTCAAGTGTAATTGAATTCATTCAATCAATAATAGAAAAATAAAGTTAGTTACAATCAAGAAACTCTCTCTCTTCACTTTCTAATATGGTATCAGAGTCTGATTTAGATCTTGTAAAACCTTTCTAATATGGTATTAAAAGTGAAGAGAGAGAGAGAGAGAGAGTTTCATGATTGTAACTAACTTTATTTTTCTGTTATTGATTGAATGAATTCAGTTACACTCAGATTTCCTTTTTATACAACATTTACACTGAACTGCCCTAGCAGGTTATAACTAACAATATGACCTACCTTAGCAGGTTTTACAAGAACAAGCTAACCTGTTGTAGCAGGTTCTAAACTAATAGAAAACCTGTAGTAACAGATTAAACTAACTACTCAGACTGACACTTGTCAGTTCTGAGTTTTACAATGCTGTTATACTCTAATACTCCCCCACAAGCTCAAGGGGAGTTTCTCACTTTGAGTTTGTGCCTGAGCTCAAAAAATCTTGTAGAGGGAAGGGGCTTAGTGAGAATGTCTGCCCACTGATCAGTGCCTGGTAAATGAGTGATGGACAATTGCTTGGACATAACTTTCTCTGTGACAAAAGATAGATCAATTTCCATGTGTTTTGTTCTGGAGTGAAGTATAGGATTGTGTGCTAGCAATACTGTCGACTGATTATCACAAAGGACCAAAGGAGTTTTGGTGGAGATGAACAATTCCTTGAGTAAGGTCTGTAGCCATAGAAGATCAGCAGTGGCTTGAGCTAGGCTTCTATACTCAGCTTCTGTGCTAGACCTGACAACCACATGTTGTTTCTTAGACCACTAAGAGATGAGATTATCTCCAAAATAAATGGCAGCTCCTGATGTACTTCTTTTGTCACCAGGATCAACAACCCAGTCTGCACCACAGTAGACCTGTAAAGAGGGTGGAGTGGAGGGAGAGAGAGTTGAAATCAAGAGGCCATGACCAATAGTGCCTTTGAGATATCTGAGAATTCTTTTAACAACAACCCAATGATGCTCTAAAGGATGAGACATAAATTGACACACCTTGTTGACTGCATAGGCTATATCTAGCCTGGTGAGAGTGGCATATTGCAGGGCACCAACTACAAACCTGTAAAGAGAGGGATCAGACATACCTGAGGCACCGGTTCTGGTGAGCTTAAAGAGGATTGCATGGGAGTTTGAACAGGGCATGCCTCTAGCATGTTAGTCTTCACTAAGAGATCCTTGATGTATTTGGACTGAGTGGGAAGTAAAGAATCAAATTTGGGTTGTTTGACATCAATTTCTAAGAAGTAGTCAAGGGATCCAAGCTGTTTGAGGGAGAAACTTGAGTTCAGTTTGGAGGTGATGATGTTAATAAGCGAGGCAGAATCACTTGTGATGATGATATCATCCACATAGACTAACATATAAATTGTGTGACCTCCAACACAATAAGTGAATAAGGAAGGGTCACACTTACTAGGTTTTAATTTGAGTTGGATGAGTGTAGTTTGCAGACTGTCAAACCACTGCCCAAGGGTTTGTTTTAGGCCAGAAAGAGCCTTGTGGAGCTTGTAGACCAAAGCTGGATTATCACTTTCAAAACCCTTTGGCTGCTCCATATAGACTTCTTCATGAAGAATGACATTGAGAAATGCATTGTTGACATCTAATTGTTGAATAGGCCATTTGTGAGTAAGGGCTATGGATAAAATAAGCCTGATGGTAACAAGCTTAATAACAGGGGAAAAGGTCTCTGTAAAATCAAACCCATACCTTTGGTGGAACCCCTTTGCTATCAGCCTAGCCTTATACTTATTCACTGTGCCAACTGGATTTTCCTTAACCCTTAACACCCATTTGCAGCCAATGACATTCTTTTGAGGTGGAAGGGGAACAAGGGTCCACGTGTTGTTGTTAAGGAGGGCATTCTACTCAGCTTGCATAGCAGTTTCCAATTAGCATTAGCAAGAGCATACTTGACACTCTTGGGTTCTGTAGTAACCAAGAGTAGTTTGGGTTCCAATCTGGGTTGAGCAAAACCAGATTTGGCCTTGGTTTGCATATGACGAGAGTTATGGGGTTGAGGAACTGGAACAACTTTAGGTGGAAGAAATGGTTTGGTAGTAGAAGAAGTGGAGGATGGAGAGGTGCTAGCCTATGAGATAGAATAAGAAGATGCTGATGAAGAACCATAGTGAAGAATCTGTTCTGAAGTAGAGTGAATTGATGTCTGCAAAGTGCCATTGGAATCATGGACTCAAGGGACTGAGAAACTGGACCTGAAGCAGAAGCAGTAGGGCTGGGAGGAAGAACAATAAGAGGTTCAGTAGTGGGGACAATGTCAGAAACAACGGGTAAGGGTGAAAGTGTGACACTTTTGGTGGAAGGGGCATATGGAGTGGAGGAAAGAAACAATTCAAGAAATTGAAATCTAAATTCATTGAAGAGAACATCCTTTGAGATGTAAATTTTTCCAGTGGAGGCAAGACATCTATACCCTTTATGAGAATAGGAGTAACCAAGAAACACACACTATTGGGACCTAAAATTCAACTTGTGACTATTGTAGGGCTTAAGTAGTGGAAAACAAGCACAACCCAACACTATTAAGAAACTATAATCAGTTTGAGAGTCGTATAACAAAGAATAAGGAATTTGAAATTTGATGGAGGAAGACGGTAGCCTGTTGATGAGATACACAAAGGTTGAGAAAGCATAATCCCAATAGATGAGTGGAAGTGTGGCTTGACTCAACAAAGTGAGCCCCATATCCACTATATGTTTATGTTTTCTCTTAACCACACCATTTTGATGGTGTGTATGAGGACAAATCAACCTATGAACAATACCATTCTCTTTGAGAAAGTGGGAGAAAGGCCTGAATTCACCACCCCAATCTGACTAGACAACGTTAATAGGATAACCCAACTGAAGTTCCACCAATTTCTTAAAATTTTGAAAAGTAGTAAGTGCTTTAGCTTTAGTTTTGAGAAAATAAATTCAAGTAAACTTGGAATAAGCATCAACAAAGGAGATATAATATTTGAAACCATAAGTAGAAGTGTAAGGTGAGGGACCCCATAGATCACTAAAAATAAGTTCAAGTGGTATGTATATGTAGTGTGTGAATCTGGTGAATGCAGTTGGTGTGCTTTACCCATATAACAAGCTGAGCAGAAATCATCAAGTGCTTTGTTGAAAAAAAGGAACATTACAAGCTTGCATAACTGTGCTTTACCCATATAAAAGCTGAGCAGAAATCATTAAGTGCTTTGTTGAAAAAAGGAACATTACAAGCTTGCATAACTAGTTGCAATACATGAGAATTAGGGTGGCCTAGTCTAAGATGCCACTTATTTGGTGTGTTAGAATTCAAAACAATTGTATTAATACTGGTATTACAGTGTTTATCCAAACTAAGACTAGACATAGTGGAAGGTAGAACAACGGGAAACTCATATAGGACATCCTTGCCAACACTTCCTTCAAGAAGTGTAGCTTTAGAGACCTATGATTGGACAATACATTTGTCAGCAGTAAAGATGAAATGTACATTATTATTTTTACATAATTGACTCACACTAAGTAGATTCTTAGTGATATTAGGAATAAGTAAGAGATTGTGCAGAGTAGGTGATGTGTGTGGCTGAAGTGGTGAAGGAAAAACACTTGAACCACAAGATTGGATATGCACACCTTGAGCATTTTCCATGAAGATCTGGTTAGGACCTTCATAAGGAGTTGTTGTTGCGGTTAGAATATGATATCAAATTATTAATTAATTTGAATCGCATCTTTAGTTCACAACCGCTCTTTGATTTATCTGAAGGAAAATGTCAAAAGAGGGAAAACCTAATTTTGCATCGTAAGGACAATGCAGGGAGAGATCTAGGTAAGGCGTTGGTTAAACTTAGGGAAGGTACTAGCACCCTAAACTTCTGTAGTACTCTACAGGAACCTTTTGTTAATTTTTTCTATTTTGTTTTGTTATTTGTTTTAAAGTATATACTGAGCTAAGGGTTAAAAGTGACAAAAAGACCTAAGGGTTAGTCCTAAGTTTACTCGGCAAGATTCGCATCTTGTGCCTACGTATCCTGGGTAGGGAATGAAATTAGAGTAATCGTAGTTTCCCTCGAAAGGGAGGTTAGAAACTTCTTGACTGTGGTC